TCATGGCCGGTGCACCGTACCTCGCTCATGTGGATGGGCCCCAGCCCTGAAGGTGGGTCAGCACTCCCTGCTCTGTGCCCATCCTGGAGCAGGGAGGACCTCTGCCCTCCTTCCCCCGATCTGGGCGTTCCCTACGGGAATGGGGCTGCCCATGGCACGACCAGCCAGGGGAACCCCATCCCAGTGTGGGCTGGAGCTGCCTGGACTGCCAGGATGCTCCAGCAGCACCCAGTAAACCAGGGGTTTTCCCCATCATGCCCCTCCAAGCCCAGCAGTGCCCTGAGTCCCTGCCATGTTGCCCACCTCACCTGGGCTCCCACCAGGGCCTGCTTCGCCGTCCCGTAGCCCAGCTGCCGGCACACCACGCTGGCTGCAGCCAGGTCCCACTGCTTGTCACACACGGTGCCCCACTGCCCATGGCGCAGCACCTCCACCCGGCCCTCACCAGCGTGGGTACCTGCTCGCAGCCGCACCGGGAGCACCTGGGAATGGGGAGCAGCTGGTCAGCGGCCTCAGGGTGCACCCACCCCATGGGCATGGGTGCAAACGGGGTGGCCGAGTGCTGCCTGGCTCCGGGACCCTCCGTCAGCAGGACGGGATGCGGGGCCGTGCTGGGGCTCACCTTTCCTGGGGAGGTCTTGCTCCTGCCCTTGCCCGTGCCCTTCTGGAAGGCAGGGCCAGGGACGCAGCTGACAACGGCATGCATGCCATGGGGGCAGGCATGCTGGCGGGGGGCTGGTGGGGCCACCTGTGTCGGGCAGCGGGCCAGGTGGGGCTCCATGCCCTGGCACCGCACCCTGTGGACCCAGAAGCTGTTGTTCCGGCTGAGCGTCTTCAGGCTGCCGAGGGATAGGAGCAGGGGCCGGCGTCAGCTTGGGTGCTGCAGGCTCTCCCCCACCCAACACCCGCACTGGGTGCCCAACCAGGGTGCCTCTGCCCACCCTGCCCAGGGCTGAGCCTTACCTGGAGTTGGGGTCCTTCAGCTTCATGTTCCAGAGCTTCCTGTGGGTGCACAGAGCCAGGAGGTCCGGGGTGGCCATGCCAACCCTGCGGGGCTCCAGACCCCCCATCCCATCATCCCTGCCCTTCCCAGCACCTCATGGCAGGACTTGGAGCAGTGGCCCAAGGCGGGGGTGGAGGGGCTGAGGGCCACTTGCCTCTCCTCTCCTTCCACCCCCCCTTTTCTGGCCACGGCTGGTCACCCTCATCCCCCCAGCTGCTGCTGAGCCCAGCTCTGCCCCTCGTGGAGGCCCCAAGAAGGGGACCCATGCATGGCCAGGCCCTACCAGCACCCCGCACACCCACCCAGCATCCCTTCCCTGACACCCCCTGGTCTCTTGCCCCCACGTGTCTAGCCAGGCACCCTGCCCCATGTGCTCCACAGCAGCAATGCAGCTCTCCCGCATCCCTACCGGTAGAAGCTGGTGTTGACGTGCTTCTCCCGGGGGAAGCCCAGCATCCCGCAGACCACACGGCTGTTGTTCCTGGTCCAGCCGGCATCGCACACCTGCCTCCAGCGCCCGCTGTGCTTCACCTCCACGGCACCCTCCGTCACTGGCATGCTCAGCTTGGCCCGTGCCAGGATGGGCTTTAGCCGCTCCAGGCTCAGCCCTGGCACCTGCCACGGTGGGCACAGGGGTCGGCATGGGGGCTCCAGCATCGAGGGCAGGGTGTGCAGGATGGGAACAAGGGAAAGGGACCTGCCCCAGACCCCCGTCCATTCTGCTGGGCACTTACTTCTCCCAGGTGACCAGAGATGGTGGCCAGAGAGGGGGCACCAGGTAGGCG